TGATTTCAAAAGAAATGGGAATCAGTCCACTGGTTTGTTGAGCATGGCTGGCAGTCATCTGACCAGTTAACTACCTTACACAAAGTTATTTGTGATGATAATTGCATTTGTAACTGCACACTAGGTGGTCTCCACATACTTAGTCTGAAAGAATTAAGGAAGAAGAAGTAATCTATCTGGATGATTAAAAAAAAAAAAACAACAAACAACAAAACAAAACAAAACAAAAAGTAGAATGTTTAAAACAGAAGGGGAGGAAGTGAATAGTGGTTAAACTTGTAATGGAGATATGGAAGAAAAAGCATTACATTACAATTCAATGAGGGAAGAATTTAACTGTAAAAAACATGGTCTGTGAAACTGATTCTATATTATCTTCACCTGAAGCCTCTGTTTGAGGTACTGGGTGTAACCACGGAAGAAAATTAACACACACTCAGGCCCACGGGTTTAAAAGATCCAACGTATGCGAGGTATTTGAACACTAGAGGGAAGCACTTAACCGGGCTACAGCTACCAGCCTTGTAGGGAAAACTGGAACAGCTGCTGTAGTGACAGACTCTTCTGCATTTAACTGCAACGTTAAAATTTTGCAGGGAGAAAACACAGTTGTTGGAATAAGAGAAAAAGAATGTAGGTTACAAGTCTTACTCATTCTATAATAGATATAAATGTACTCTAAAATTTCAGTTACTGATGTGGATCATGGACAGCAGAGCAAATTATATATTAAACTAATCGCGAGTAATGTTCATATATCACGGTTTCATCTTTTCTCTTTTTCTTCAGTGGATGTTTCCTAATTTAAACCTGTTCTTCCTTTACTTCAAGTAAAAGGGAAAGATCTTAAGGGTCTGAGTCATTACCTTCTGTAGTTTTTACGTATTTTTGGCTTGACATGGTAAAAGAAAGTCTTGTCTCTGAAGAATCTTTTTTTACCTTATGCCAGAGTTAATGACTATAACATATTGGATCTCATGCACAATTCATGAAAGCTGATTTAACATTAATGCAGGTGCATAGAATGGCTCAAGCTGTTCACCTGCTCTCCCTGATGGAAGCAAAATGCTGTCATGATTTCTAACAAGGAGAAACGAGGAATGAATCAAGGAGATAAAATATATAATGTATATAAATGTGGCTTAGAGTGCATTGTAAATGATTTTACATAGCTAGTCACATACCTTTCTCTAATGGCAGACAAATTTTCTAGTGGATGCTAAAACATGAGGCTAGATTGTCATCCTGTTGGCAACCCTTGGAAGCAAATTAGGACTTAATCCTTCTGCCAGTGGAATCATTGGCAGGCAATCATATGCACAATATGCTGCTTCAAATGTAATCAGAAGAAATGTGCATTTGATCTAGCTGGATAAAACTCTTCAACTGATAATCACCTACTAACTTACAATCTTGATAACTTGCCATTTCTCTAATTTTCTCCTAAAATGTAGAAAGAAATTCTATCAAAGTGAGACTTTTCCCACTGCCTATTGAAAACAGAACAAGGTTTGCTGGTTCCAGTAGCTTTCACAGCTACTATCAAAATTATTTTTCTTTTAAAGTGGTCTCGTTATAGAGTTACTACGTTTATAGGAATTATTTTTTTCCAAAATTAATATTGACAGCCATTCACCATTTCTCAATACTGTAAGTGTGCAGAAAGCATTCATTCACTGTACATTGTTTAGTTTCTTAGTTCTGCTTTTAAGCTAAACAGGGAAAGATTAGCCTAGGTACTCAATGTCCAAATTTAACTTTTTCATGCAAATGTTTAGTAGGTTGCATTCTGTGAAGAATAATCAAATGGAATCTTATCAATGTATATACATACCTTAAGGGAGGATGCAAAGATATTGGAGCCAAGCTATTTTCAGTGGTGCCTAGTGCCAGGACAAAGGGTGATGGGCATGAGCTGAAACACAGCAAATTCCAGCTGAACATAAGAAAACATTTTTTTGCTGTAGTGGTGACTGAGCAGGGGAGCAAGTTGCCAAGGAAGGGCATATCTACATCTTTGGAGGTATTCAAAAGAAGCCTGGACATGGTTCTGAGTAACTTGCTCTGTCTGAGCTTCCAATAAGTAACAAGGTTGGACTACACAAAATGTGAGAGGTCCCATCCAAGATCATTTATATTGTGATTCTGAGTTTTTGTGAAATGTACTGTATGGAATAAATTATCAGCTGCAAACTATTTCTGGATATATTTATATAAGAAAAACATAAATTATTTTAAATGTAACATGTATATGTGAATTAATAGTAAATTTTTATATCAAATATCTACTTATACCTTCCAAAATTTCACATAAAAGTGATTTTCATGTTATCAGAATTTTCAAAAATATTATATATGGGATTAATACTAGCTATAAGATAGTAGCATCTTTTCCCCAGAATCAAGCTTTTAGAATATCAGAATGTCAGTGACTATCAGACAGTCACTCCAAACTTTTCTGATAGGTAATATTTGAAGTTAATTAACCTATCACTGTCTACAAGGTTCTATGCTACAAATTTCATGGAAACTTGCATTTGATGTCATCAGTTATTTTAAATGAGCGGGTACTTCAATTGAAATAAGTATTTCAGAAGCCACAATACAGGAACTATATTAGAACTATCGCATAGCTTCTTTATTATCTGAAGTAGGCAGTGATACAGCTCTGTCAACTAATGCTTTGTATTGAACAATAACTGGTACTGCATATCTCTGCACAGTCTTTCAGAGAGCACAGGTTTGTACAGAGACTGCCTATAGTATGCTGTACATGTGCAACTATACAGACAGCTGGAGAGATGCCAGAGCAGGCATAAAGAGAGAGAAGTTTCTTACAAGACAAGACATTCTTTTCTGTTGAGGACTGATTTTTTTTTTTTTTTTTTTCCCCCAGAAATTATTTATTGAAAAATTTAATACATCCTGAGCATGATAGTTATACCAACTTTTAGACATATCCAGTAGAGAAGATAGTGTATGTATGTAACTTATGGTAAGTTGTTGTCTAACTTGACATTGCTACCTGCAACTGGACATATTAATAACTTTACTACTGCAACCGTGATTTCCATTATTTCTGCATCATCTTCCATGGCCCAAAAATAGCTGTGGAGAGACGAGATGTTATCAACAATTTATGAGTTCTGAGCAAGTTCTAAAACCTTTATTTCAAATTACTCTTTCATTTCCTTTTCTACAAATTTAACTTCTAATTCTATGTTATTGTTTGTCCATTTCTTAGCTTCTTTATGTAAAATAAGAACCTAGTCAAGCAAACATATCCAGCTGTATTACTGCTTATTGTGACATGAAAGTAAGTCCTAGGCCATTCTGAATGACTAAGAGGGAACTTACAGAACCAAATGTTTCCTTAATCAGAAGAGTAAAGGATTTCTTAAAATGTCTTCAATTTATGTGCCAAGCATTTTAGGACACTATCTCACCTAGAGGAAACTAACCTGCAGGAAACTAACCTTTCCAGTGGTGCCCAGCGACAGGACAAGGGGCAATGCTGGAACACAGTAAGTTCCATCTGAACATGGGAAATAATTTCTTTACTGTGAGGATGACAGAGCAAGGAAAGTTGTGTAGTCTCCTTCTCTGGAAATACACCAAACCTTCCTGGATATTTTCCTGTGTAATCTACTGTAGGGAAATTGTTTTTACAGTGAGGTGGGGCTGGATGATCTACAGAGGTCCTTTCCAACCTCTCCAATTCTGCAATACTGTGACTGTGAACCTTCAATCAAGAAAGAACATCTTCATTTCTCATTTTTGATTTGTCTTTCTCATTGTATAAACTGAGAATAACTGTGTATAAACTGAGGTTCAAGTGTAAGCTTCCAATATGAGATGAAAATGGAGAGCTACAGCATGCATGGATTCTCTTGCACACTATATTGCAATAAAATAAATGGAATAAAATATCACTACAGAGTAATGCTTAGTATCCTACAGCCTGTAGTTTGCAAGCCTAGATAAGAGGATAGTAGGACAAAAATTAAATCAGAGTTGACTCAGTTAAAGGTCTTAAGACTGTTTTGCACATATTAAGCTGGAAACAATTCTATGGATAGTCTAAAATAATCATAAGTGTATAATTTAGAGTTCACTGAATAGATCTTTAAGGTTCACTAAGTGTATCCAATTAGATCTCTACTGATGATAATGGGAGCTTAGCTTGTGTGTAAACAAATAAATTTAGATGTCTTAATCTGTGAGCTTTACCAGTCAGAATGACTGTATTGTAATGAAAGGACACCCAAGGTAGCTTTAAACTCTCTGGCTTGGGCAAGTCCAATCTAATTTCACAGAGTTTAGTTCAGAAGTGTATCCTGACATGAGGGATGGCTATAGTACAGGCTATTTTGGAGACCTGTAGCATGTAATTTACTTTGTTTAAAAAATGTTTTACTGTTGACTGAAATGAATGTTATCTGGTAATCAAGTTTTTGCCAAGCTGTGCTTCAGAACTTAGACAAAAAAGTACTTATTCCTTGCACGCTAGTAGGAGGGATACAGAATGAGTTAAGCTCATGAAATCTTGTCCAATTTGATGAAAGTATGACATATTGTAATGACTTTATAATACTCCTTATTTCATTTTCATTGTGTAACATTGCTTCATTTTCCTTCATAGGCACAAAACTTGACTGACGTCATGCAATGACACATAGCTTATTACCATGGCTGGCTTCTGTTAAAACATAATTCATAGAGCATTAAAATATTCAGCATTTAAATATTCAAAGTTATTCTTGTCTTAAATGTTCAACAGTAACATTATAGATACAACATTTTTTTTGCCATCACTCTTGTTTTCAGTAACCTTTTCAAATACCTTCCTAAAGAACATTTCTTTATAATTTTATCTGGTATTAATTAAGGATATGCTTATATTTGTATTTTAAGCTATTAATAGCAGAAAGATTTCTAATAATGGAGCAGTGAGTCATTGAATTTTTTCCTTTATTTTATTTTGTTTTATTTTTTTACAGTGTGAAGATGTGCTTTCTGGCTTAAATCAGCACAGAAGGATATACAAACTCCCACTGCCTATTCACATTACCTCTAACCTCAGATGATGCCAATGATAAATTACAATTCATTATTAACTACCTGTATGACTGATGTGCTAGGAGGTTCTTCTGATTCTGAGGCTCAGGTATGCTACACGCTGACACAAAAAGTGACAATTGCTTTGAAGACTATGCAGTAAACATACAAAACAGATGGGCTGGGAGGCAGAACACATGTACCAAAAGATTAAAGTTGTGAGTCACCATGAATGGATATAGATGTCAGAAAGGTACAGATATTGCCTAATAGATGTCATCAATGGAGTAATGAAGTCTGAAATAGGATTCTTGATTATTTTTTTTTAGAGCACTTAGACTTCCAGCAGGTTATCAGCAAAGCCAAGACTAGATTTTAGGAATAAACTCACCTCATCTTCCTTAAACATATGTAGCATTGACAGCTATTGCTGAAGCTCCCTTTATATTCATTGTTGAGATGAGGTTTTTTTTAGGATTCAATCCAACTGATGTATTAAAAATGTCTATTTTGAAGTGAGAAGAATTCTATCTTAGACTTCAGAGCCTATAGTAACTATGTTTCGACTGATTATACATGGAGACTAGAATGACTCACATAAAGAGCAGTCTTTCACTTTTAGTGGGATGAATTCTCCATAAATCTTATGAGTGAAAGAGTAGTGTCTTTCTCTCTGAACCACGAAATCATCCTGAATAAGATAGTAAAGCATATCCAAGTAACTGCTGAGCATTTTTTAATAAGTACAAACAAATGTTTCCCCTTCATTTAAATATTGAAATTCTGGAGATACCTGGCTCAGGTGGCTATTTTGTACACTCATAATCAGTACTGCTCTGAGTTCTATTCCGTACTATTCAGAAGTACAGGATTTCAGAGGATTTCACACAAATACATTATTTATGATTTCATATGCATACAAACTGCACCAATAAACCATTGTCTAGTGAAGGAGGTCCCAAAAGGTTAGATATTTGCACAGTTTCAGTTACTGACTTAAAAAAATCCCTTCAACCAGAAAAGAATTGCAAGAAGTGTAACCTGCAACTTGTATTCTCATTTTATTTAACAATCCTGTACACAATCCATCTAGGTCAGTTTAAATGAATGCCTTATTGCTACTTAGATGGTTATGGGTTGCAATTCATTTAACGTGCCCAATGATTCATGTTTAGTTTATTGAATTTAATGTAGTATCTGAGTAACTTACACATGTGTAGTACTTTAAATGCATGCACAATGGCACATAGAACCCTGTGCAGGGTTTTGCTGAAGTAATCAGCTTATTGATGTGTTATAGTTTGAGTTATCATGCTACTTTTTATGTCATTATTTAATTTAATGCTGTTTGCAGTAATGAGTCTGTCACTACACTGATGTGCAGGTAGGCATGTCTGTCTACCTCACAGAAGTTCACCAGTTTTTATGCAAATAATGGTTCAGGATGTGTCTAGTTTTATGATTTGTTACCAGAACATCTCATGAGCCACTAACTTGTGTTTGCAACTTTTTTTGTATTGCTGTTTTGAAACTAATTAATGAATGCTATTTGTTTACAGCAAGAGGTTTGAATCTTCCTTCACTACCAGACAAGTCAAAGGACATTTACAAGTAAAACTCAATTTCTTCTGTGGAAATGATTTTCCTGTAATATAAAGCTATGTAGGATATATTTGTATGCTTCCTTGAATCTTCTGTATTGAAGCTTTTCATTAATAGGAGGAAAGTGGAGACTGCCTTAGGGAAATCTGAGCTTTTTTAAAATCCAGAAGTTAAGACCATTACTTTTGGCAGACCTATATTTTTATGCTGCTTATTAGCCTATTCTGTTCCTGATAAAAGACTGTACTTACAGTTCTCATCGTGATACTGAGTCCTTACAAGACAGGAGGATAAAAAAAATCATGTTTAAATTATCTAGAAAAAATGCTCTTGACTTGATGGAATACACATTACCAGCAATGTTTTTTTTTTTTTTTACTTTAACCATACTCCTTTCTTATCTCTAAAGCACAGTAAACAGGTTTGTGCTTGAGATTTGTGATACCAATAAAGAGGAATTCTTATCACTGAGTTTGAGGTTTTTTTTTTTCTTTCCTCTGCATAAATGGACAAACTATACTTTTCTTATTCCCACAGTCCTGTGATTAAATTTTATATGCTTTTTCTTGTGTTTTGACAAGTCCTTCTACCAAAATAACTAACAAGGGAGACCTTGATGTAATCAACTTCTAACTTTAGTTAAAATAACACACAAAAAGAGTTCAGAAATAGTCATATGTAAGATTTTGTATAGTCTACCTGTTAAATATTTGGATTCTAAGCAATGAAATATAGTTCCATATAAGTTTTTCTTTCCAAATAGTTGTTAAGTAAACATCAATGTGCACTGTAGTGACAGATTACTGGGACAAACTAGTTCTAACTTCATGCTAGCAAACGGCAGGTACTCAAGGAGCAATGGTAGTTCCGTACTCACATTTAGATAACTTACATGAAATTATATAATGTAGTAGGTCAGAAGATATAATGTGCAAAGAAATATGGTTGACTGTCTGTACATCAAAGATAACTGGTAAAGGCATCTGCCAAATACATCCTAGATTAGAGTTTCTTCTTTAAAAAAACAAACAAGCAAATAAACAAACAAACAAAACAAGTACATTTAGAGCAAATACCAGCCCCAGAAACATTTATAGCTTACAAAAAAAAGTGATTACCTTTATAAGAGAAGATTTTGCTGGCATAGCAAATTTTTGATTTAAGTTTTATTTTCAGTATCCTTTTAACATTTGTCTAGCAGAGGTAAACATAGTGCAGTTCTGTCATTGGAGTTATGATTTATACCAGCTGACATGTCAACCTTTGTCTTGGATTTATTTCCATTGATTTCATTCCATCTGTTATTTAGAAACATTTCAATTACTTTACATGTTCATCTATCTAAAATTAAGCTGAAGTTACATACACCCACAACCAAATGCCTACACATAAGATCAGCTTGAAGTTATTTCTTTGTCTTTAGCTGTAACAATTCTTAAAAAAAAAAAAAAAAAAAAAAAAAAAAAAAAAAGGTTCTCTTATGGAAAACTGATGAGAGATTAAAAAAAATTCCTGTTGTTGTTGGCTTCTCTGGAAGTAATGCCTCCTATTTTATTATATTGGCCCACATAGTTAATGGCAGATGTTGGTGGTATGACAGTCAAGATTAAATCTTCCTGATAGTATTCTGTTACATTTTGTTCCCATGCAACAGATGGCAGCAGAAGAACTGTGACAGAATGGTGTCTGATGTGCAAGTGCATATGAAGCAAAGGTGTGAAACTGAATTTCTCCATGTGGAAAAAATGGCACCCATTCACATTCACTGATGTTTACTGAAGGTTTATGAAGACCAAACAGTGGATACTAGTGCAGTGATGTGGTGGGTGATGTGTTTCAGAAGTATTGACAGTGATGTGAAAGACGTGTTATGTTATAGATGGCCATGAGGATTTTACAAGCAGAGCATGCAGGCTCTTGTTCATCACTGGTGAAAATGCATAGCTATGGGCGATAACTGTATTGAAAAATATTGCCTTGTAGCTGAGAATTTGCTTCATGAAATAGTGCTATTGTGCTCTTTGTATCTGTTGTAGTTTCCATGGAAATAAATAGGAGGCATTACTTTTGGTGTGACCTATGGATATAATGCAGTTATGCAGACCAATAAGACAATGGCAAAATTCAGTGTCATGAATGCTCTTGTGAGCTGGAGGATGCTTTCTTGGATATTACTATTGATAATAAAATCTGAAACGTCATTTTGATACTTTTCAATTTCTCTCAAAGGAAGATAGGGTATGAATTTAAGATGGAGGTTTCTTCAATAAATTGATTTTTAAAAATAATTTTCAGTCAAGTTCTCTCTTTTGCAAAGGAATTTTAACTGAGTTTTCTGTATTTTTGAAGAAGTAATTTAAGGTTAGGGAGGACAGTTATGGCAGTTGTTGCTACTTCCAACTGCACATTTGTGTCCTCTTCAGTAAGCCTGCATAATCATGTCTCTATGGCATGCCTCTTCCTCACTTTATGCAGATTTGTTCCCCTATAATATCTTGTCACTCCCTAATCTGGCTTCTGTAGATTTTGGTGTTCCACGCATTTAGGCAAATTCTTAATAAAGACAACAAGCTATAAGCTACAGTGATTGTGAGAGCAAAACTCTCTCCAATATTTTCCATGCATTAAGGACTATGGCGTTGAGCTGATCAGTACTTACCATAACAAATTTGCATCTACTATATGTAGACTGTCATTCAAGGATTTCAAAATTATTTTAGATGTGAAGCATCCTATGTAAAATCTGAATTATCTCCTTTTCAGTTACAATGATCAGACTTCTTTTTGGCCCTAATCAAAGATTGGATAGTCCTAGATCATAAATATTCTTCCTCCAAGACTGAGAAATAGAATGGTTTTGTAATAAATTTAGTAATCACTTGCATCCAAATAGTTCACCAACAAGCAAGTAGGGGCTAGAGACCACAACATATCCAGCAATTAGAGTGGTACATTGCTATCTAACCATCTGAATGAAATTATTTGCTATTCTGTCAATTTCCTCTAGTATCTAGGACAAGTTCCTTAATTAGCTGGTATTCTATGTTACACTTGCAAAGTGAAGACAATAGTTCTATTAGGTTCTGGGAATAAATGCATTACAAATTTTGTGTATCTCAGCTATTGTGGTAATAGAAGTGGTACACTTTCCATAAAGAATCAATTTCCTTGTTTTGAAATATGATTTATGATGATGAAAACAAGACTGAACCTGATCTTTAGAAATATCTTTGAAGCATATTGGACCATTTCTTTCTGCCAGCTGTTGTGAGAGTTCTGAGTTAGTTGCATTCTGCCTGAATTGCTGCTAATGGAGAGTTTGTAGTCTAAATGTGTCTTCACTGGCAACAAGGCTTCCACTCTGAGTATCTTGGCAGTAGGCTGCTGATTTCAGAAATTATGTATTTCTATTTGTGGAAGAGATGGTCTCTAATTTCCATTCCTGATAATGTCAATATATATGTATGACATATGTTGATGTTAAATTGCTCAACAAATCTTGCAAAT